CTTTTTATAAGAGCCCTGATCCTAACCTGGCCTCCAGAGACAAAGGCCAGAAGAAAAGGGAGGCAAGCTTTCCTAAGATTTGGGGTGGAGGTGGGGGGAGGACCCATTCTTGGCCTGGAATTCCTCTGATGGAAGAGACGGTTGGTTTGATGGCCTGGGATTCTTCAGTGCTGCCAAGTCCCTGTTAGGGAATGCTTCCACTACTAACTAGATCTCCCATCTCCACCCCCCACCCCCTCACCCCCCGCCCAAATCTTGAGAGGGTCCCATTTCCTGCTCTTGTAATTCAGAAAACTATCCTTTCATTTGTAAAGAAAAAGGAAATCTTATCTGGTAATGGTAACATTGGGGTATTGGTCAGTCGAAGAGCAATTCATTGAGAGCACGCTCAATTTTCTATGAAAAAATGGAAGGTGGAATCGGGGAGAGAAAACGGCGCTTGGGCTCTGAAGGGCGAAACCCCAGGGGTGTGGAGCGGGTTCATCGCGCAGTGAACCCGCTCAGGCGGCCACGCAGCCCGCTCCCCGCGCCCGCCTCCCAGCCCAGCGCCCTATTGTCCTCCATCCAAGCCTGGGGTCGTGACCCAGTTGAAGGCGACAACGCGCCCCCGGGCAGACTCGGCGTGGAACCCAGAGGAGGAGCCAGGCTACCGCCAGCCTCTTGCATTTCGCCTTTGCGGGGCTCGCGGTCCTCAAGACCCCGGCGCTGGGACCCCCATGAAGGCAAGCCGCTTTGTGCCCCATTCTCTGGCTCCCGGCTTCCGGGAAGCCAGAGACTAGAGCGGGAACCTAGGGTTGGGCTATTTGGCAGTGCCTGCCTACAGACTCCGTTTTAGGATTTCTCTGCCCAGAAGTTCAAATATACTTTGCTCTCGCAATCTCTGACGCTGAGAGGGAGGGTCCGAAAGGAGGAGTGAGTAGAGGTGACACTTCTTTGGGCTTGATCCATACCTATCCGCTGGCAGAGCAGACCCCAGAGAGCCTGATCTTCCAGAATCTGGCAGTTGCTGATGGGGGCTGGACATTTAAAATCGTCCCTTCCCATGATTAGACTCTGTAACCCTATTCACCCGCAAGCACACTCCCAGACCCTCCCTACCCACCCTTGCTTCCCAGGCCTCCTGGTTTGTCAGCTGGGCCTCAGAACTGAAAGCAGGAAGGATGAGCTGCAGACGCCTTACCCCTCCTTGCATGGATGTGGGCTCAGCTTCTGGATGGACCCTGCGTTCAAAGAAGCTACAGAGCTGACACCAGAGAGAAGAGTGGAAAAATCCCGAGGAATGGAGGGAGAGCCAGTTCTGAAAAGAGGCCCCTGGATCTGGAGGGCAGTGAGCAAACCTTGGTTTCTTCTCTGCTCCCCAAACCCAAAAGGGATCTGAGCTCCTCAAGCTGCACAGGTTTTAAGGTGGCTGAGGGACCCCTTCGGGTCTCTGGTTCAAACAATGCACCCTACCAGTCTTCCTTCTCAAGAGGCAGCTAAAACTCAGTACCCGCTGCAGGAGAAAAATTAAAATGTGGCTAGTGACTGGGGTGCAGAAAAAGCAGGTCAGTTCTAGCAGAAAGATTGGTCAGAGGCAAAGACTTCCTTTTCTACCAAATCCCCCAAATGTTTATTTTGGGCTCCTGCCCATCCAGATAAATCAAGCTAACAGATTAGGAAGTTCATAAAATTGTATTCTTAGGTAATGACATCCAGAGAGGCAATAAATATTCCCTCTGATGCCCGCTGGAGTTGGGGGATCCTCCCTCTCTTTTTCCAAGCTGGAGAATGGTTTATTGAAAGGGGAACTTTCCATTAGAATTAGCGCTCTAAAGGTGGGGTGCCAGAGAGAAGCCGTGGAAACCATGAGAAGTGGCTTTGTGAGGGCAAACTCTCCCAGGACTGGGCAAAAAGCAGAGAAAAGGTTGCTGAAACTGCCCCAGCCCACTGCTCCTCCCGTCATCACACCATCCTCAATCTCAAGGATTCCCTTGGTAGTCACTGTCCCATAATCTTAGAAAAGCAGACAAACTGTGCCTAGCAGGGGCTACCCTGGCCCCAAGCTCTGGAGAACCCTTTAATTGTCTTATCTTCCTTACCACTCCCCTAAAATACACACAGGCACTCTGGATCCACCAAATCCATGCATGAAAAAAAACTGATGCACAGATTGCAGAAAAAACTTTGTAGGCAAGTTCATACAAACAGCACTGAGAAGCCTTCAAAGAAATATAGTTGCCCTGCTTGGCCTTTCCCCCAGGCTCACTTTCTCAGCTCTCTCCCCTTTTCAGGCCAAGTTTTTTCTCTCAGGTACACCAGTCAGCGCAGAAACTCCACTTTCCCCAAGTAGAAGCCGTCCGTTCAGGATTAGATTTCCCGCCTCCCCTCCCCAAGACCAGAGTTGAGATAAAAATTGAATGGCAAACAGAGAGAATTGAAACTGCTATGCGTCTCGCCCCCAGAGGGATCGAGTGCTAACTACTTACATGTCAAGGGGCTTTTTGACCTGTGGGGATCTCTTGGTGCTTGGAGAGAAGGACCTTGGAAAATTGGTGTCGTCGTTTCACCCTGTCTTCTTTTTACTTGGCCATTGGAGAGAGAGGTACAAGGTGCTAGCAGGCATTCATGCGCCTTGCCTCTCCCATGACTCTGGGCAAGAAACCGCCACCCCCACAAAGGCAGTGGCATCCTATCTGGAGACCAGGGGCTGAGCCAGAGCTGGCTTGGGAGGGTCGGAGATGGGGGTGGGGGAAAGGTCAGAGGCGCTGGTGAATATAAAGGCGATGTGAGAGAAAATGCTGTGCCCTCCCCGTGAACCTGGGCTGCGTCCCCCCCCTCCACCCCCCTCGGCCTTTCCCCACTGCTCAACCCAACTTCAATAAAAAGCCCCAGCCCTCAGCCCTGGGCTTCCCAGTGAGGCTGTAGCAGCATCGGGGGGAGCAACAGCTGCAGGGGACCAAGCCTGCCAGAGCTAAGGGCCCTGGCCCAGGTTGGCCCCACACACTTCTTTCCCCAACCCTCCCCAGCAGCCTGATCCTTATATCTGGGTGGTCAGGTCTAAGGCAAAGGAGAGCTTTAGGGAAAGAGGAGAGAATGGAGCCCACTGGAGGGAAGACCAGAGGCCAAAATCTTAAAAACTCTAGTTTTATTTTATTGGTCAAGAATTATGGATTTCTGATGTTTCAGACCAAGAGGGATAGAGATACAGAAAGAATGATTATGCGTATATGTGTGAGGAGCAGAAGGAGAAACTGGAGCCCCTAAAGAGGGGAAATAAAAGACTGTCCCAATTCTTTTAATCTGCTTTTCCTTCAACAAGTTCAGGGAGAAGCTGAAGAAATAAAAGACAGTGGTTTCCCCCCTCTTTGCTTTCATCTTTTCATTTTCAGGAGGAGAGGGAATAAATTCCCCTAAAACCAAATGAGCAAAGTTAGGAAAGGACTATGGATCTTAATTTTCTTTTTTCACCCCTGTCTTCCCATCTTCGCTTCCTCACAGGATTGGAAAGACACACAGGTCCACCCCTCAGACCTTTCTTTCCTTTTCCCAAGCACAGCTAGACCCTCTCTTCCTGCCCCAAAGTCAACTCTCTCAAGATGACAGCAGCTCCAGTCAGATTTGGCCCCTAATTCACTTGATTACATAAAATAACTCTAGATAATTGTTGGCCCTGCTTCCTTGCACTGTAGGCAGCATGTTTTGCTGTCTCCAGGGCACCATTGAGGGAGGAGAAAGTAGACCTACAGGACCAAGTGATTCCCCTCAACACACACACACACACACACACACACACACACACACACACCCCTCCAAGAACCAGCCAGCCAGCAAGTGGTACAAGAAGAAATAAATCCAGAGCACACCAAACAGATTTTTACAACTTGGTCCCCTTGTTGCCTTTCACTCCAGAATCTGGGGAGAAAGGGAAGGAGTATCCCGGGCTCTTCTACGTACCCAGATCTCTCCTCCTTCTCTTTTCTACTTCTGATAGTGCTCCATCCTAAAATTTGGATAAATTGCCTGAGAAACTCGCCAGCTGCCTCCCCCACATCCCAACAAACAAGCAAAAATTTGAGCAGGTCATGCTTAGAGCTTGGTCTTCAGAACCAGAATTATTTGGGAACCTTTGGCTTAAATTAACTATTCAGGTAATCCAGACCAGTTTTCTTATTTTGCTTCTTTTTGTTTTTGGTTTTTAGCCCCAAGGAAATAAGTTTAAAACAAAAATTTTACAGCCAGAGAGCCTTCCCTTAGCCTTGCCGGGACCTGGGAGGTTGCTGAAACAGGGTGGTCCCTGCCTCTCCCTGTATCTTTTCTCAACACCTGGCAGGTCCATGATAAAAAGTTAGGGGATAAAAAATAAAAGTTCTTCATTATCTCCAGGCATCAGGCTTTGAGGCCTACCCATGCAAGGGGCCTCCCAGGCCTCTGGCCTCCACTTCACCCTTCTTTCCAAGTCTAAACAAACAGAGAAGCCATCCTGACAGGTCACTTTGCTGCTTCAGAGTCACCAGCTCAAAATCTTTCTTCTTTTAAGGAGAACGTACGTGTTGAAGGGGCATCTTTCTTGACCCCCCCCCAAAAAAAACCCTAAAAGATCAAAACTCTTTTCCCTTCTACCTAAACTTGCCTTCTTGTCTGAAATTAGGCAGGCCTGTTCAGCATGGAGAGGGGAGAAGGTAGGAGAGGGAAATAGAAAAAAGAAAGCACTGTGTCTAACTATAGAAAAGTGAGACCCCATCCCCCCCCCAGCCCCACTGTAAGTACCCCCATGAAAGTCTGAACTCTGCAAAGTCAGAGGGAAGGGACAGGAGAAATCAGCCCTAATCTTCCACATGCCCTCTTCTGAGGATCCCCTATCCCAACCCCCTTATTGGTTCTTTTAAGGATATTGTAAAACTAGAGTTGAGAGTTAAGATTTGTGTGTTTGCTTAGAGTAAACTTAGGTAACTATAGAGAAGGTGGGATGTTACCAGACCAGAAAGAGGAGGGGGATAAAAAGAAACCATCAGACATTGACGTAAAACTAATTCACATCCACTGGTTTATTATTGATCACGGGGCATTTCACATCGACACTAAAATTCTTTATTGCAAGTTTTACAATAATCAAGTAAATTCAGTCCAAAAACACAATAACCACGATGGGGGGTGAGGTGGGGAGATTCTACCTATAGACTGCCTCTCTGAACTGAAAGTTCATTTTTATTTTCTTTTGGCTCCTCAAACTGAACAGCTCTGAGAGGCTCTCCCGATGCATTTAGCTTTGTCTGCTGTCTTCCCCCATCTCCTCCCAGCCTCCCCCCACAACAATAATACAAAAGAACTTCATAGCTTTGTTCTCCTTAAAATGACTTCCCTCTCGCTAACCTCCCCTGGTGCATTTTCAATGCAAAAGGCCTAAGGAAAGAGGGGGGAGAAGGAGGAGGAGGAGAAGGATGAGAATTAGCTTTAAAAATCTCTTTCCTTTTTTCTTTTCCTCATTTCCCCTGAAATTCACCCAAACCAGACCAGCACACCTTGCAATATATAATTTTTGCAGTTTTTTTTCTTAAAAAATAAATAACCCCCCAAAATGGCCTTTAAAAAAAACAAAACAAAACCCAGCAGGTACCATGCTAAGACAACATCACATGCTTTAAGGGTCCTTAATAGTAGAAGGGAGAGAGGGCAGGGGGCTTGTTTGTTTATCTGTTCTGTCTGTTTGGAACTGACAAGGGATAAGGTGGGAAGAAGAGAGAAAAGAACCAAAATATATATATATTAAATTCTATAAATAAGAGTCAATTTGTATGTGAGGGGAGGATGGGGGCATGGGGTGGGGGCAGGGTGTGAGTTATGTTTTATAACCTGGTAATGTCCTCTGCCCGCGGCTGCTCCTGCGGCGTGGCGCTCTGGGAGTGGTCTTCAGAAGTGCCCGGGGTGGCTGCCGAGAGGGTGCTGGGCGCAGCGCCGGCCGGGGGCGCTGACCTGACTTTGGTGTTGGGGAGTCGGTGGTCCTTCTTCCATTTCATGCGACGGTTTTGGAACCAGATTTTGATCTGCCTCTCAGAGAGGCACAGCGAGTGGGCGATCTCGATCCTTCTCCTTCGGGTCAGGTAGCGATTGTAATGAAACTCTTTCTCTAATTCCAGGACTTGCTGCCGGGTGTAGGCTGTCCTCGAGCGCTTGGGTTCCCCTCCGTTATAATTGGGGTTCACTGGGGGGGTTGGGGAGGGGAAAAGCAAATAGTGGGGTTCAGAGGCAGCAGCTCCCTGCCCCCACCCTCACCCCGACCTCAGCTCTGTGGAACAGGAGGAGGGGGTGGTGGAAATAAAGTCATCAAGCTAAATGGGTTATAAAGAAGTTGAAGGAAGCTGGAGACTTTGTAGTGTAATAAGAGGGGAATCCTCATTGTAACGACACTGAATTATTTATGCGCCCTTAGAAAGCGAGCATAGTTTTCACACATACATAACAGATCGTAGCACATGGCTCGGACTGCCCAGAGTAGCTAAGCCATAAAATTTATGGGGGATGTAATTACCCATTCTCGCTCGTAAATCCAGTTCAATTGTGCTAACCCAGAGTCGCTCCTGGAGAGAGAGGGGGAAGGAGAGAAAGGAGGACGGGGGCCAGAGGGGGCCGGGGAGGGTGGGGAGCGCTAGGGAAGAGGGGAGGGAGGGGGAGAGCAAAAAGCAAAGTTGCCTACCCGTGCTAACGTGGATTTTTTTCATCCATGGGTAGACTATGGGTTGCTTGCTGGCGTTGCTGGAGGGATGGTCAGGGGCTGGCTGGCTGCAGGCTGGCGGGGCTGGGGACGGGGAGGCGGAGGCGCCTGAGAGAGGCGCCGGCTCGCAGAGCGGCTGTGATTTCTCGGGGTGGTGGTGGCCCGCCTGGGCCGGCCCGTGGCCTCTCGAATTGCCCGGCCCCTGGAGGCTGGTGCAGCTATACTGGCGCTCGGGGTAGCTAGGGCGCGGAGGCGGTGGTGGGTACAGCTCCTGGTGGTGATGCTGGAATCCCGATTCCCTGGTCCGGCCGTAATATTCCGGACTGTGTTCAGGGATGTAGCTATTTTGCGAATATTCTTCGCATGGAGGAAATTTCGGATCGATGTAGTTAGAGTCCATCAAATACGAGCTCATGATCATTAATTTCTGGAGTGGAAAATAATTTTTCTCGCTTTGTCGTTTTTCTGCTCCATAAAGCCCTCCTACTAGCTAGCGACCCTGTAAAGTTACTTTCACCATGTGACTCCGCCGGCCAATCACACGGAGCAACCCAGTCCCCGGATAAGGAACCGAATCGCTTTATTCAAAATGTATCCAATTTTTTTGTGTGTGGTGGTGGTGGTGCTGCTGCTGGGGTGGTGGTGGTGCCGATGTGGGGTTAGCTGGCAGGGGCTGGGGTGTCTCAGTGCACACCCCACAGACTGACAGCCCTCCCCTGTGAAAGGAGAGGACGCCCCCAGCGTTCCTCCCGAGCCTGGGCATTGAGGGGCTGTCGGGAGGCTGTGACTCAGCCCCCTCCTGAAGTCTCCCCTTGGGCTGCCGATGGGCCCCTCGGGCCTCAGCTCCCGAGCTTCTCCGAAGGTTTCCATGCATGGCGATCCTGTCTGTCTGTGGAGGTCACCGGGCAGCGCCCCTCTTTCGCAGGAAGAGGAAGTTGAATGAGGACTGGAGTGGAGGTTGGATGGGGAGGAGCCCAGGCTGAGCCCAGGAGGCTGAAGAGCCTGGGGTGCCCCCCATCCAAGCATACCAGAGTCCAGCCCCCTCCCCGTGTATACACACTCACCCAACCCTCTGGCCAAGGGGCCGGCGAGGCAGGGTCCCAGCTGGACCGGGCAGGTAGAGGCAGTGGGATGCAAATGATTCTGACGTCATTTCTGGAGGTCTGGGGGTTGAGCCCCCGCTGAAGAGAGACAGGAAGTGGTTGGCAAAAGCAGAGTTCAGAAGCCTTGCCCTCCCGAGCACCCACTGAGCCTCCCTGTCCCAGCCCAGGAACCTAGGACCTCTTCTACTGCCGCTTGCTATTCCCACCCTCCATTCGGTCTGGCCTGCTGCTTTCTGACCGCTGCCTGCAAGCTGCTTCCTGAGGAGCTGGGGCAAGGAGGAGAGAGATCTGCCAGGAGTCAGCGCCGCCTGAGCCGTGTCCCGCCAGGGCCCTGGGCGCTCTTCCTTCTCCATCCCCACAGAGGGCAGACCTAGCTAAGAGGGAGGCAGGCCTGTGTGGATAGGGCTTGCTTGGGGCCAGGAATTGTATCCATGTAACACATGTGTTTACATGTAAACACACATTCCCAAAGGCCATATCCAGGCTGCCTTCCAAAAGCTGAGGGGTGAGCTCACCAAGCTGGGTAGGCTGGGCACACCTAAGTGGGGGAGATGTCTCCCGTCCATTTCTGCCTCCTCCCCTTTCTCTGCCACCAACCCACAGGAATTCCCTTGTGTCCAGGGTGGCAGGGCCATGGACGGGGGAGGGGGCAAGAAGGGCTTCTTTTCACCCCCCCCCCCAGATAGGGGTGGCCACATCCTGCCACCAATTCCAATTAACTGATCCCATAACACAGAGTTGGGGGGGGGGGTGGCAGAAGGGAGAGCCCAGGGAGGGAGCCGGGTCCCCTTGTTGTACTTGATAACAATTATAGTTTAAAATCATAGCTTGCCGGGGCTCAGCTATATTTTACTTGATAACAATAAAAGTGACACATAAAGTTAACTGTTTATGTTTTATTTATTAGACTAAATCTGCCAGCGGTGGTAGGAGCGCTTGCCTCGTCGCTACAGCTTTTATAGGGCTGTAAAACGTCATAAATCAGTCTCGCGGAATCGCCCGCACTCTTTGTGTCGGCGGCGGCGCAGGGCTGGCGGCCGCTGGCTGCCTGCTCCCTCCTTTCCACGAAAAGTCGTAATGTGATTTTTCCCCCTCTGATTTTATTATTATGATCGCCGCCGTGATTAGTCAATCTACCTTTAATTCGCCGCCCTACGCTGCCTCCTCCCAGCCCAGCCTGGTTGACACTTGAATAAGTACCTTTTAAAACGGCATAACAACTATTTGAGGGTTTAATTAGAACATCTGCAATTAAGGGAATGAGGAGGGGAAGAGAAAAAATAAAGCCCTGGTGAGAGGGAGACTGAAGGCGGGAGATTCTCAACCTGTCTCTCACCACCTTTGGGATGCAAGAGAGGGTCCCCACTTCCAAATTGGGGCTCACCCTAAGGCAGGAATTACACTGGGCCACAGCTGATGTCCAAAGGGGCTGATCCTCCGCCTGGGCCCTGGCTGCCTTCCCTCCTCAGATGCTCAGGCCTCCCACCCTCAGCCCAGGTGCCTGGGGAGGGGGTCCCTGGATGCCCTGCCCCCTGCCATCAGGTGGGTGAGGGGACAGGAATTCCCTGGAGGTGCACCATCTCTTGGAGGAGATTCCCAACTGCCCACAGTTGGTTGAGATCCCCTGCCCATGCCTGTCCGGGACCCTCTTCGTGTGAGGACTGGCTGGTTTGGTTGGAAGAGGAACTTGAGACTTTGAGGAGGGAAAGGCTGCTGTTTGGTTGATAGTGGTTTGGAGTGTGTGAGGGTTTTCTTTTTTGTAATTATTGGTGGTGGGGGGTGAGAGCAAGAAGAGGGCAAAGGGAAACCAACGCTGAATGCTGACCTACATAGAAGTCTGCACCACGGCCCCAGACTGCCCCCAGGGGAGGGCCAAAGCTCTGTGACTCTCAGGCGGGGGGGGGGGGGGGGGGGGGGGGGGGGTAGGGGAAATGAAGGCACTGAAAGCCTTCCAGCCCCACCCCCAACCTCTCTTCCAGGCCAGCACCTGGGTCAGGCTGCCCCACCCCAATCTGGCCCAGATATTCTTTTCCCCACCTGACCTGGTGAGGTCTTGGCCTGGCTCCCCTTCTCCCAGCCCTCACACTCACCTTCTGCCAGCCCTGCCTCCACCTCAGTCCTCATTTCTTCTGTCTCCTTACCCTCTTGGGCTTGTTAGGGAGTCTTCCCAAGGTATTGCCCACCCCACATCCTACCAGCTTACTCCCCAGGATTCTGAGCTCCTGCAGGTGGCTAGAGGGAGCGGGAGCAGGAAACCCATTCAGGCCAGTATGTGTAAGTAGATACGGAGAGTTCAGATGCCTCCAACTAAATGTCAAATCTGTCTTTGGTTATTACAGCTAACAAATATATACTATTAATATTTATTAATATATTAAATGCATCCTTATGCAGCCACAAATATATGTGGGGTTCTCATTCTAGGCTTGCACAGCTGATTCAACATGCACATTCATAAAGTGAAATCTGGGAGATTCCCCCCAATATGCCCACACTTATCTATATCATTTACCAAAAAAAACTCTCTTTGGGCTTCTATAGCTTAATAGCAAGGAAGTCGCCTATCACATGGGGAAAATAGCAAGCCAGACCGCACCACACACATACATACAAGCATTTTCACTTATTAGCAGTACGGAAATCAAACCCTTACGGAAGACTCCTGCACTTAGCATTGGCTTAATTGGGGGGGCGGCGGGGGAGGCACTAAAGCAGCGGCTCTCTCCTGCAGTGACGCCTAGTATCTGGTCTGGTCCTGCCTCCTTTTGTGCATCGCCCTCCTGCCTCTGGCCTTGCCAACCCAAGGATCTCTCTACTCTCTCTACTCTCCGGCTGGCTCTGCCCTCCATCTCTCTCTGACCCAATTTTATTTTTTATTTTTTTCTGACTACCTTTTGCCAGCTTCCAAACACTCTCCGAATGCCCCCCGACCCCCTATCCTTTCTAAATCTCGATCTGGTTTCTCTTTCGGAAACATGTTTCAGTACAAAGCGCTTCCCTTCTGACACCGCTGAAGAAAAATATGTGTCCATTGTGTGCGAGGCCTTATTGTGCCCGGATTACCATACTGACCGTTGGATAACCCATATTCCTCCCCTCCCCAGTAACACGCTGCCGGCTGAGAGACCTCAGCGGCTCCACCGATTCTGTGCTGCATTAAAATCCACCTCTCAGAATCCCTGAATTTTCCTAGGGAGAAAAATAAATGGGAGAACCAATGTAGGATTTGGAAAGCAAAGAGAAGGGAAATGAGAGTCATTCCTTTCCCGTTCGCAGAAGGGCAGGGTTTTGCTTTTAGTGTATGTATGTGGTTTTTGTTATTTTAGAGATTGAAAATGGCAACATATCTCTTTCTTCTTCCTGAAATAAATTGACTTTTAGATAGTATGCAATCAAATAACTCATTTCATTTTTATTCTTTTCTCCAAACAACTTGAAAACCCCAAACTAAAGCAAGACCCTTATCCCATTTCCCCTCTGTGTATGTATGTATGTATGTATGTATGTGTGTGTGTGTGTTTTGTCCCCTTCTAATGCCAGCAGGCAGGGCTAATGTATGCAAAAGAATATGCAAATGCTTAATTGATTTTTTCTTAAATCTCTTGTCAGTAAAAGTAATGAATTGGTCTAAAATGATTTTAATAACCTGGACGTGTCACCAGAAAATACTCAACCTTTTTTTTCTCTCTCTCCTGGAATCGCTTATAGTCTTGGGGGGGAAAAAGCAATCATGGAATGTTAATTTGCCCCCCTTTAAAATATTAAAGATAAATTTCCCTTGTTTGTTCCAAGACCATAGGCAAGGTCCTCTCATGGATTTCCCCCTCCTTGCCTTGCCTTCCTTGGAATTCAATTTTCCTCAAATCTCGTTTAAAGTGGCTTTTTAAAAAGTGGCCGCATTTTAATATTGGTTAGACAGAGTGACCTGCATTTCACCTCGGGTGTTTGACTTGTTCCAATAGGTCACTGCCATGGGGTTATTGATGGGGAAACTCCATTGAAATTTGTCTCTTCGCAAATGGCCTTTAGATCTTCCAGCGAGTTCAATAACTAGTTATAATGTGGAAGGGGAAAAATGAAGGCCCTGGGCTAATGAATTTGATGTTTCATTTTTATGCTGGAGAAATTGTTAGTTAGAAGAGGTTGGGTTCCCCACCGCCTTCTTTGCTCATCCTGGCCTCACTGACCCCCACTCCAGGCCAAGGCTGCTGGATCATAACCCCTTTAAAACTTGGACTGGGGTGTCCCTTTCTCCCTTGATGCAAGCTTTAATTCTTATTATTATGAATATTGTTGTTGTCAAAATTCTGACTAAGGGTGCAGGAAGCTTGCGCTCCTGGAGATTTGTGACCTGAGCTTTCCTGTTTAGGGGGGAAGGACGTATGTTTTTAAAGGCGCTTAAATGCAGTTTTGAAAGATTCAGGAGTTACGCTGGCTTTAGGGTCTTTTATGGAAGGCTCTCCGGCCTGATGCTCTCAGAATTAAGGTGATGATAGGAAGCTGCGATCCCTTTGGGGGGGGGGGGGATCTGAGCTCCCAGAGACCCATGGGATCAGGCACCCAGGACCAAAGAAGACAGAGACTGGCAAGTTTAAGGGCAGACGGAGCATTCCATGGAGCAAGCAAGGGAAGCCTGGGTCTCCTCCAGGGTCAGAGACAGGACTCGTGGAGACTTGGTCTAGTAACTGCCTGTGGAGCTTCACCAGAAGGGCGCCCCACAAAAGCCCAACACCCAAAGCCAGTGAGTTTTAGTGAACTGAAGAGAACAGAGGAAAATGAGGGGAGGCATGGGGATTTTATAAGGTTCCCTTTTTGCTGGAATCCTCAAGGAGTGGGAGAGGAAAGGGCAGGGGCAGAGGGGAAGGTCTTTATTTTATTCTCCCCCATCACAGCCAAGTTGGGGAACCCCTGGCTTCTGGAGAGAAGGCTCCGTGAGGAAGGATTGTGTAGAAATCATCTCTGCAGGCTGGCCCCGCCGTACCAGAGGTGACCATTATTAACCTCCATAATAACAAGACCATCATTCCCTCACAAATCAGCTGCCCGCGAGCCTCATCTCCTTCTTCCAGGAACTGCTCCTTCTCCTTTCCTGCCCCAAGGGGTCCACTTTGTTCAGCCCCAAGTTTCCCCTTTAATACACCCACCCGCCTCCTACCCCCTTCTGAGCCTGGGTTCCGTGGATGGGAGTCGTTCCAAAGGCAAGCACTGATTTCTGGGCTGGGGGAATCGAGGCCAATATGTCAGTGCCTGAAACCGGGGTGCCACTTCCCTCTGCCCTCAAACCCAGAGGCAGCCAGTACCTCGGTGCCACCTGTGCTCGCAGACAAACTTTCCTGGGCAGATCCGTGGCCCCACTGGGGTCGGGAGCAGCCCTTAACCACACAGCCGGAATCTCATAAAAACGGGAGAGTCTGAGAAGGGGCCCTGGGCGCTCGGGGTCGGCCTGGGAGCGGCCCGGCCCGCGCTGCCCCGCGGGGCAGGGATCCACAGCGGTCTGTTCTCCGCTTGCCCGCAGCCCCCGCGCGTGGGCCCCCGCGGGCGAGTCCCTTCCCCCGGTCGCTCGCCCGCCTCGGCCCGCACCTCGGCGGCTGCCTCCGGACCCCAGACCCCCAGCCTCGGGCCTCGCCCTCTCCCCGTTTTAATTACGTGATTGATTTTCGCTTGGGCCGCCTCGAGACGCCTCTGCCTCCGACTGGTTTTAATCTCCCGGTTCCCTTTTTGTCTCTCCGGGTCCTCCTGCCGGGCTGGGCTGTGAGTCAGAGGCTGCCCCTGGGGCGCCTCGGCGGGTCGGGCCGCTGCCTCGCCCTTCACACC